CAGACATATTGTCAGGAGGGACCAGTTGCTGGAGAAGGATATCATGTTTGGGAAGGTGGAGGGTCAGAGAAAAAGAGGAAGACCCCCAGTGAGATGGATAGGCAAAGTGGCAGCATCAATGGGCTCAAGCGTGGCAACAATTGTGAGGTTGGCCCAGGATCGGGCAGTGTTTCGTTCTGTTGTTCATAGGGTCGCTATGAGTCGGTACCAACTCAATGGCACCTAACAACAACAATAACAATTTAGTGCAAGAAAGAAGGATCCCTGGCAGAACAACAATAACAATTTAGTGCAAGAAAGAAGGATCCCTGGCAGCACAAACAGTTAAGCGCACCATTGGCAACTTGAACTTACCCAATGACTCCACAGGTGAAAAGTTTACATTAAAAAATAAATGATATATAGTCTCATACCTTGTGTTTACTAGTTACAGTTACATATTGGGAGTGTGGTAGAAAAAGCAATATTTAAATACCTGGCATTTGAGCTGGATTCTGCCACACTGCTCAGCAACTGGGGAACTTCATATTCAATAAGTGTTTTTAGCTGTCCATCCCCCACACCATTACGGTACACAATTATCCGTGCTGGCAAATCATGGTTGTATTTGTACCACCTGTTGAGTGCTCCTGCAGAATTTGGTAATAGTAAAAGAAGAATGACTCATTCAATGCCAATAAAAAAAATAGGGTTCCCATATATTTCTATATTTAATTGGTGGTGGTGTTAAGTGCCATCGAGTCGGTTCCAACTCATAGTAACTCTGTGTGAGGTTTCCGAGGCTTTAGATCTTTGTGGGAGCAGAAATCCTCATCTTTCTCCCACGGAGAGGCTGATGCTCTCAAACTGCTATTTAGGACTACTAAGGTTAATGTGCTAGACTGCAAAGCCATTTGAACTGCAACGTCAGCTGTACAAGTTCACCAGCTGCTCCTCAGAAACACTATACAGAGTCGCTATGGGTCAGAACCGACTCAACGGCACTTAACAACAACAACAACATAAAACAGAAAGGAGTTGTGGTTGTTGCTGTTCTTGTTGTGAAGTGCCGTACAGTCGGTTCCAACCCATAGTGACCCTGCATAGGGTTTCCAAGGAGCGACTGGTGAGCTTGAACCACCGAGCTAGTAGTTCAAACGTCTTTGCAGTCTGGCACATTAACTCACAGGGCCACACCAGGACTCCAAGGAGTTGTGGTAGCGTAGTGGATTATGAGATTGGCTGCTAACTGCAAGGTCAGCCTTCGAATCTCCCAGCTGCCCTGAGGGAGAAAGATGAAGCTTTCTGTTCCGGTAAATATTTACAGCCTCAGAAATCCTACAGGTTGCTGAGTCGGAATCGACTTGACAGCATACCACCACCACCATAAAGCAGAGAAATAATGCCTAATCTATATCTGTGATAATATGAAAATGAGCAACTTTAGGGAACATTCATTCATCTCCACTATTTGAGGCATCAAGATGACTTTGATGGCATAATATAGTCTTACACTTAGCATATCTCTTTAATAAGATATTATTCAGGCAATAAATTAAAATTAAATTCATGCAGCAGACATAAAAATTCAGCAAACCAAATCAATACTAATTTAGCTTCTTCAAGTCTTTAAATCCTCTCAACAGATTTGTTCTTGTTATGTGCCATGGAGTCGGTTCCAACATACAGACTGACTAATTTTATGTCATCTTCTCCCCTAACGAGCATAAATACAAAAACATAAGAAAATGCTCGGCTGTTCCTCTGAAAACATCCCTTCCTACTGACTCACTGAATTAGGCTCCAATTCTCACTGAGGATATGAACTCTAAAAACATTTCCACCTACTCTCACTGTAAATTGCTTAGAAAGCAGATACCAGACAGTAACTCCTACCCAACAGAAACTTTTTATAACAACTGCTTAAAAAAAATACGCTTAAAAAATTTTTAAAGTAATATGATACAATAATTCATTTAAAACATAATATTGCACAACTGTTTCAGAAGGATTAACTGTCCAGGAAATTCATTTTAGTTAGGTAGTAGATAATCATATATACAGTCATATACAAATGACATACAAGGAGATTTCAAAAAGTTCCTGGAAAAATGGAATTAAGAGGTCATGGAAATTTTCCAACTACTTTTTGAAGCCCCTTCATATGTATATACATAAATCATATGTATAAGCAAATACCTATCACTAAATTCACTGTTTTAGAAAAAATATGTATTTACAACCTGTGGGGAAACAGAGATCAGGACAAGGAATGATTTGTACAAGTTGTATTGCTAGGGAGTAGCCAGGCCCAATGAGGAGAGAAAGTGGGTAACCTAGACCCCACTATAGGATGGTATCCTTCCTTGTCTGCTGTTTTTCCTTTTTTCCCCTGATATCCCACACTTTCACCCTTACCAAAGTCCCTAGGTGTCACAAATGGTTTACACTCAAGTGTGACCCTGAAGGTTAGGGGTTTCAACTCACCAAGCAGCACTGCAGAAGAAAGACCTGGCAACCTGACGCCATGAAGATTACAGCAAAAAAAACCCAACAGAACTTTATAGAGCAGTTCTAGTTTCTAACACACGGGGTCACCACGAGCCAGAATCACCTAAGCAGCAACTGGTAACCAGAGTCTATTCTAACCTCTATCTCAGCCCCAGAGGCGTCTTTTCTATTTATAGATTTAGCATTGCTCTGTCATAATCCCAGTTCCATCAGAGTAGGTTTCTTTTGGCCTTCAAGGCACTTGTCCGATGACCATCAGGAACTACAAACTCTCCTTCCTCCAGGCTTTTTGTTCTCACACACAGACAAATGCAAGTTCTACAGAGTTTGACTCTCAGCCTGAGTTGCACAAAGCTCTGGGCATCTTCACTGGCTGATGGCTAACACTGGCAGTTTTGGGCAGCTTGTTCCTACCTATCTGGTCTTCTGCAGGCATGTGGACCCTTGGGTCTTAAGGAACAGCCCTTGGAACCCATCAACATTAATATATTATTAATACCAATCATGAAAACTTTTAAGCAATCTGCAACAGCGGTTGTTGTTCTCTGCAGGATACACCGGGAATACCACCTAAAATAAGCGGAAGGAAAAGGTAAATTCAACACAAATTTTATACAATGCATACTACAGATTAGTATTAAATTAAGAAATAGACATTGTAAGTAAAAATCAATGTTCAGGATTTTGTAGATGCTATACAGTGTTGGTAAGGAGCTCTGGTAGCGTAGTGGTTATGAGTCAGGCTGCTGACCTCAAAGTCAGCAGTTCTATACTACCAGCTGTTCGACGGGTATGGGTTCTGCTCCCATAAAGATTTACAGCCTCAGAAACCCTGTACAGGGTCTCTATGAGTTGGAACCGACTCCATGGCATACTACCACCACCATACAGTATTGCTAGGAGTCAGAACTGATTCGACAGTGCACAACAGCAAAACAGACTAAAAAAGATGCCCCAGTGGCACAGTGGGTTAAGCACTGGGCTGCTACCGTAAGGTCTAATTCAAACCCACCAGAGCCCCACCAGCTGCTCTGAGTTAGAGTTCTATAAAGATTTTCATAACCTTAGACACTTTATAGAGCAGTTGAACTCAGTAATATAGAATTTCTGAGTCAGAAGGGTTTGGTTTGGTTTTCATAATGTGACCAAAATTATATTAAGATGCCCATCTTCACCAAAAAATGAGAAACTAAACATAATGTTGGCATCAGACATCTGGGTTCAAATGCCAGCTGTGTGATTTTGCAAGGAGCCCTGGTTATGCACTGGTTAAATGCCTGTATGTTAATCAAAATGTTGGCAGTTCACACCTAGCTCCAATAGAACAAGATGTGGCAGGCCGCCTCTGTAAAGATTAGTCTTGGAAACCCTATGAGTCCTACAGGGTTGGAATCAATTCCACAGCAACGGGCTTTGGGTTTACATGACTTTATTAGGTGGACTTAAGCCTCTGCTTCCTCATCTATAGCAAGGAAACTCCTAAGACAGTAACTACCTCATAGGATTGTTGTAATAATATATATATGTAAACTACTCAGAGCAGAGCCTGGCACATGTTGTTGTAGGTGCTGTCTAGTCTATTCTGACTCATCGTGGTAATGTGCCATGGAGTTGGTTTCAACTCACAGTGACCCTGAATGGGTTTCCAAGGAGCAGCTAGTGGGTTTCAACCACAGATTTTGTGATTAGCAGCCCAGTGCTTATCCTACAGCACCACAATAAAACTCATACAAGTTGTTGTTGTTGTTGTTGTTAAGTGCCATCGAGTTGGCTCTAATCCATAGCAAACCTGTATAAGGTTTCCGAGGAGCAACTGGTGAGCTTGAATCGCCGACCTTGTGGTTCAAACCGACTTTGTAGTCCAGCACATTAATCCACAGTGCCAGACCAGGACTCCAGAACTAATACATAAAAACTTCTATATTATTATTATAGAGGAACATACTGATTTAGCAATAGATACCTAGTTTCAAAATATTCAAACTCAAGTATGTATTTCCATAGTTGAGGTTTGGAGGCTTGACACCTGAGCATGATTAATATTTAGATTTCAGAAGCAAGGTTTCTTGCTAAAGTCATCAAATAATTAAAAGCACTAAAGGGTGAGGACAGTTTTACAACTTGAAGAACAGAATCAACGTCACATGTAGAAGTTATTGAACTGGTGGAAGTTCTGCTGTGTATACTCTCAATAACAGCATTAAAAATAATTTTTTTTTTAGTTAGTATCATGATTTAGCGGCAAATTATCTACATCATCATTGTTAAATTTCTCTAAATAAATACAACAATGTAGTAATTGTTGTTGATAAGTCAGTTCCTGTATAGGGTTTCCAAAGAGTGGCTGGTGAATTGGAACCACTGACTTTGCAGTTCAAACCGACCTCAAAGTCCAGTGCATTAACCCACAGAGCCACACCAGGACTCCAAATGCAACAAAAGTGGCACAATTAGGAAAGTTGAGAACAAAGTACAATCCTTTATCAACTTAATTAAGGAACTGTCTTACATCTAAAAGGGATCTCATATACCTTAGGCAATCTATTTGGGTTATTTGGGTGATGTTAAAATGAATTAAGAAAGTTCTCATCACTGAATCTTTTATTCCACAATCTCAATGGAAGAGGGTGCCTTCCTCAAAAGCTAGATATATCCCCCAAATTTACTGGTTCATCTAATAAACTTGCTCCATGCTGCTATTATATTAGGAAAGCAATGATTTGATTAGTGGCATGCTGAATCCTATCGATCAATATACTAATTTGCATACACCAGCTTTTAAACTAGATGCTTCCAACTTTGTTAACTTCTGTAGAGACTGAATTAGAAAAGTGTTAATAGTCATGTCAACAGAATTTTTAACAAATAATTGGGAGTAGGTATTTGTGATGTTGTGTGATAAGCACTGAACTGCTAACTGCAAAGTCGGCAGTTCAAAGCCACCAACCACTTCTCAGAAACTCTATACACGGTCATCATGAGTCAGAAATGACTCGATCGCACTTAACAACATCTACGTAGCAGGAGGTAACTAGTTACTGGGACCTACTTCTCTATTGTTGGCTTTAATTGTAGGTGCCGCATCCTGTAGGGATGTTGTTACTTTTCCTGTTTCCCACAATCCCAAATATATACCTGACCACAGCTTAATGGAAGCAACTTAAGGGTGGGAAGAAAAAAAAAATTGCAAATAGTTTCTGCAACCTCAAAACACACTGTTTCAAATCCTGAAGCAATTATAAGAACTACCATTTAATGAGAGGTTCTGGTGTGGCTCTGTAGGATAAGCATGGGTCAAATCTACCAGCTGCTCCTTGAAAACCCTATACTGGGTCACTATGAGTCAGAACTGACTTGATGGCAATTAACAATAGCAATGAGCCAGTCTTTAATACGTTATCCCTAATACTGCCTATTTTTGTAATGATGATATGGACATCAAGTGAATGTATTAATAATAGCTACAATAAAGCAATAAGCAGTGTTGAGCAATTACTGCAGGTGGCAACGTTTTATCTTATTTAATGCCCTATGAAATAGGAAGCATTACTGAGTCGTGGGGTGGTGCTGTGGGATCAGCACAAGATTGGCAGCTCAAAGCCACTAGCTGCTTCATGGAAACCCTATAGTTGTTGTTAAGTGCCGTCGAGTTGATTCTGACTCATAGTGAACCTGTAAAGTGTTCTGAGGAGCGACTGGTGAGCTTGAACCACCAAAATAATGAATGCAAAGTATCTCATACAATGCAGCCACTCAAAAAACATATACATGCACAAGAATTTCTATGTGCTCATTATTTTATAACTATGATTGGTATATAATTAATGATTGGCTCTAATGGATGTATTAAAAATAGTTTTTAATGAGACTATTTTCCCAATATTATAAAAACATTTTTATATGTACATATAATCTAAGACCATACAAGCTAGTGCTTAAAAGAATGAGTAATACAAACTATTGATTGCTATTTCAGCCTTTAAACTACAATTAATAGTCTAAACAAAGCATCCGAACAAAACGAAACCTACTGCCATCGAATAAATTCCAATTCATAACAACCTTCTAGGACAAAGTAGAACTGCCTCTTAGGGTTTCCAAAACTATAAATCTTTACCAGAGCAAACAACTTCATCTTTCTCCTGTGGAGCAGCTAGTGAGTTTGAAATATACCACCGAGGCTTCTTAATTGAACACTACCTTAGAGTAATTGTAAACATACCTGGTAATTCTGGGGTTAATGCTAGCCACAAAGCCAACCACTGCCATTTCCTTGTTGAAGGCATCTTTACAGACATCAATACCGACTACCATCAGGGACTTTAACTGTAGAATTAAATTTTTCATGATTTAATGGGAAAAGATAGCATTTCTCCAAACAATGAATTCAGTAAAAAATAGCATTTCTCCAAACAATGAATTCAGTAACTGTTCCTAGTTACTAAATTATTTTAGTTAAGCTGTGTGATCAAAGTCTAGACCACACAGATTATTTTCACCAGAAACCAAAGGGACTTAAAGATGGAGGAAAGAACTGGTTGTTTGGACATGCTAGACCAAAATAGTCACCAACCACTGTGAGGGTAGACAAGGGGCACTAGTGGTTAAAGAGATGCTGAAGAAATGGTTAGACCATTTATCCCTTATCTCTGAACTAAAGGAATCTAATATTCCCCATTCTGTTCTTCAGATTGCTAAGGAATCTTCACTTGGCCATGGGCCCCCAGGAGGTATATTGTGGGTGACCACGTTCACTTATCTGGTTATGGAAATATAAGAGTGGACAACATTCCTCATTCCCCTCATTCCAACCACAGTGCTATATTTCAGGAGAGAGAAGAGGCGTTTCTCAGTTCCCACCTCAGTTTGAAAGTTCAGAACATAGGCTTGTACCAAGCTCTTGGGAGACCCCATGCATGGTACAAGACAACTCTGAGTGAGTTCCATGAGGAAAGCAGGCACACGTAGAAGTCATGGAACACTGACTTTAAAGTAGTCACTTGTGAGACTGAATCAAGTCTTTCCAAGTTAATGCTCAGCTGTGGTTTCTTTTACAAATTATTTTAAATATTCGGTGTAACCGAAGTCCTTTGACAAAGACCCTTTGACAAGGGTCAAGCCTCGCATTCTTTTAGATACCCCTACAGTGGCTTGCACTTCTTCCAAAACAGATCTATTAGTTCTTCCTAACAACAACAGTGGCTTGTAAGGCTGGTTGTTCAACCTCGTCAGCAGCTCCTTGGAAACCCTCTAGGGTGTTGCTGTGGGTTGGAAACAGACTCTACAGCACTTAACAATAACAACAGTGGCTTGGGTAATGCCAGAACCCATAGCAGAGACACCACAAACAAACAAAACAAATAATTCTGGAATCATGTGAAAATCTCCTACATTAATAATAATTTTACAGTTATTATTAGACTGATCAAGCAGGATCCTCACAGGTATCTCCACAGCCCAGAGCTCCCCGCCGAGTTTACACGTCATTTGCAGAGCAATCTTGGTGGCAATACTCATCATCATTCCCTGCTTATTCAGAGTGCGAGTAAGCACACACTGGCTCGGCACTGGGCAGTCTGAGCTCAAGTACTTTTTAATGGAATCATAGTAGCTCTTCTGATTAGAAGACAGAATACACATCACCTATTAAAAAAAAAAACACAAAACAAAAACAAAAAGAGGAAGTCCATTTTCTTATGCTTAGAAGTAACTTTTAAAAAAAATAAAGTACATGCATTCTCCATACATCTTTTCCCCTAAGGTCCTAAGAAACAAATATAAACACATCTAGAGTTCTTTTGTTGTTGTTAAATGTCATTGTGTCAGTCCCAACTCACAGCAACTTTGTATAGCATTTCCAAGTGGCTGGTGAGTTTGAATCGCCGACCTTGCAGTTCAAATCGACCTTGCAGTCCAGTGTTTATCCTACAGCGCCACACCAGGGCTGGTGGGTTTGATCTCTTCTCAACAACAATAAATGTAGAAGGAATGACAGAATTAAAAAACCCATTTGGCAACTGCAAGATTAATAACTGATTCAGGCAAAAATCCTCAATGGATGCTAAAACTAGTGAGTACAAGTTTGATGAGGAACAAGATATTTACATAGTCTCAAAAATAATCTCCCCATGAAAAAATGTATTTATCACAAATTAAAAACCAGTAACTTCACAGTGGAGAAAGCTGGCCAATACCACCTTATTCACTATTGTGATAGTGACCAAGTCATTATTACTTGTAATGAGACACACATTGAGTACCACCTGGTAGGGTACCATACCAGAATGTATGGCATCATCACTGTGATACTGCTGCCAAATGCAAATAGCCTAAATTTAATCATAAGAAAACCTGAGACAAATCCAAATGGAGAAACTTTATATAGAATAACTGGTCTATAAAGTTCAAAATGGAAAGATCTTAAAAGCCAAAGAAAACCTAAGAACTGTTTCAGATTTTAGAAAGACACTAAAGAAATAGGACATCTAAGTGCAATGTATCCAATTCTTTTACTCTAACGGACACTACTGGAACAAATGGAGAAATCTGAATGGGGTCCAAGGATTAGCTAGTGATAATATTTAGTGATTTCGATGTTGGCTCTGTGGTTACGTGGAATGAAATATGCATTCTAATACTAACATATTCAAGGACAATAAGTATGTCTGTAGGTTATTCTCAAATAGTTCACGGAAAAATAACAGAGAAGTGGAATGAGTGAGTTAAGGAGGTGAGGGGAGGAGACGGAACAGAGAGAATAAAAACAAATCAATATGGCAGAAGGAGAAGAGTTTTAAAAAATCCAAGAAATGGGAATCGTTCAGAGATTTTTTGAAACAGGGACGCCCATGTGAACTTGTTTGAAATGATGGGATGTGGTGAAATCATACTTTGACCCCAAATCCTCTGCTAAGTCTCTGCCATGTTCCCATCTTTCTTGGATATGACCTTACTTTCTGATCCCTGTCTCTCCCCACACCCCTAATCCCACCCCACTCTCTTTCTCTCACCCCTACACACAGACACACATATGTGTGGCACTTTGAGAAATGAGGCAATTGGGGGTATCCCACAGGGTGTGAAGTACAGGATAAAACACGTAAAGGAGAGCAGGAATCCAGAGGAAGAAGGAAGTTGCAACCATAAGGGATGCAAGGAAACCTAATCCTTCCAAGAATCTCCTGACACATTGGGAATAACAGTGATGTTCCAACATTTATGAGATAAAGTGGGAGGTAGTTTCTCTTTAATCTTACACAAAAATGACTCTCCAGTAGGTTGAAAAACTATGCAGATGCCCAAGAGGCTGATATAAGGGTAATAACAAGTATTTAAAAATTCATATTAGAAATATGAAAGGAAAATAAAATATTATTGATGAAAATGCTAGGATTAATACCTATAGTTTGTAAAACGCACAGCATTTTACCAAGATATTATTCAAAAATAATCTCCCCATGAAAAAATGTATTTATCACAACTTTCAAAACTGTTAGATAAAAGAAAAAATATTAAATTATGCATTAAAACAAAACAAAACAAAATACCCTATACTTACCAGCTGAACATCAGGATCAACATTTTGTTGTATAGCTCTAAAAAATGCAGCTGGATTTTCTTGTACCTTTATGCTGCATAAAAAGATTAATTTGAAGTTTTATTAAGTCTGCTTCTCAGTAGGGTATGATCGTGTAGCATTAGAAATAATACAAGCAGATTTACGTACCAGAATAGTAATTTTAGGAATAAATCATTAGAGAAAAATTTAAGCGTTTTTCTTCCAATAGAGGTGCCAAAAATACTTAAAAATCATTTTTATTCACATAAAAAATAGAATGGGTAGAAAATGACATTTTCTCAATTGTGCTAGTAAGTAGCAATTTTGTTGTTCAATATGGAGTTGAAAAAAAATCACACAAGTTTCATAATATCAAATATCTGAAACAAAGTTCAGGCTAAACCAGGTTTAATGTTTGGCTAATATTGAATCTATTTGGGAATTAAAAAAAAAAATTAGTAATCTTCACCTGAATAAGACCAAGATAGTCTAATATGCATGATTCAAAAAAAATAAATCTTGCACCTTAATCAATCAACCAGTCAGCAAATACTTATTAAGTGCCTATAGTCCTGAACACAGGGATATACAACTCTAGTTTCTTTATGAAGGTGCCCTGGTGGCATGCTGGTTAAGACCTTAGCTGTTAACCAAAAGGTTAATGATTTGGACCCACCAGCTGCTCTGTGGGCGAAAGATGTGGCAGTTTGCTTCCCTAAAGTTTTACGTACTTCTGTAAAGACTGTTACAGAGATATGTGAATGGACTGCAGCATTGTTCAAATAGCTAAATGATTCTGATTTTTGCAATTGAATCTCTTGCATGTGGCCTCAGCAACTACCTCCACCAGGCAAATGACTTTAGATAGGAGAAGTTCTGTAAATAAATCTGAAGGGTAAATAGATATTTCATGAGGGGGGAAAAAAAAAAAAAAGGATGAATTAAAATGTGTTTTTTTACAAATAGAACAGACCAAGAGCAGAACATGGGTAGGGCTGGCTCCCTCATGGAATTGGTGTGATAAAGAGGTCTGTTGACTGGCTTTTTTCATTAATCTTCTCTTGCTTTCTTAGTTAAAGGGTTAAAAGAAATCAGAGTAGATGAAACGCAAACCAGATGATTTGTTAACAGATTTGATAGGAGGAAAATTCTACACTACATGTAAAATGAGGCTTTTGGAATATCTGTGGTTTTCAACAATGCTTGTACTAACCATTGTAATTATCTGTATCCACATATTAAACAATAACTTCCCACCCTGACAATTAGGATATTTGTGGTGTTGGAGGTTAATGCACTGGACTGCAAAGTTGGCTTGAACAGCAAGGTTGGTGGTTCAAGTTCACCAGTTGCTCCTTGGAAACCCTATACAGGGTTGCTATGGGTCAGAACCAACTCAACAGCACTTAACAACAACAACAACTGTAAAAATGATAAAGTAGTACAGCAGCTGTTTCTCTTTTCAAATCATATAAAGTTCAGTAAAGTGAGGCATGGGCAACTTTATAGTTTTTTAAAGCAAAACAATATTTAATTTGAGTATGCTTGTGTATGTACATGTGTATCTTTTACTTAAAAGCAACTTACTTTTCTTTATGACTCCCAGCAATAGCATAGTATCTAACGTATAGTAGATACTCAGTACATGTTCAAAAAATACATTAATGCCCTTAGTTGTATCAGAAAACTATTGAAATTATTAATCTTATGCTACAGTAGCAGAGGAAGAAAGGTGAGGCTTTCTACTCCAGCAAAGATTTAAAGTCTCAGAAACCCTATACAGGGTCACTACAAGCAGGAACTGAATCAACATCACTTAACAACAACACAGTAACAGAATCAGAAAAGTTTTACTTCAGATCAATTTTACATTCAATTTTAAGGTACCAATCTTATCAAATGCATCAGGAAATGAATATTTTTTTCTTTCTTTTTAAAAAATACTCTGTTTGCTGTTGTGTTTTATAAATAATTGATAGGAAAGAGTTAAGACAAAAAGTTGAGGAGGAAATACACCATCTTATTAAAAATTTATACCCCAGCTACTACTAAAAAGATTTTTGGGAATGAGTCTATTGTTTAAGAAAAACTATGAAAATAATGTTTCAAAAAGACCAACATAAGATGTATTTTGAATTTATAAGGATTTAGTCATTTAAAAAATACATCTATATGTAACTATTTCATTGGACCTTTATATTAGGAACCTTTACTGAGATAAAGAAGCTCTTGTGGGTATTTCAGCCATTATTTCCTATCTTTTAACCAAACCAAAAGGAGCTCTGGTAACATAGTGATTACGAGTTGGGCTGCTAATCTCACAGTCAGCAGTTCAAAACTACCAGCTGTTCCGCAGGAGAAAGTTGAGGCTTTCTGCTCCCATAAAGATTTACAGCCTCAGGAACCCTATACAGGGTCACTATGAGTTGGAACTGACTCACAGCACATCACCACCAACAATAACCAAAACAAATTAAGACATTTATTAAAAATTGGAACAACTGTAAATATATTCTCACATTTTAGGGTAGTCCACATTGAATCCTATGGAACGTCCAACTCTTCTCAAGCAGTTCAGAAAGCTCTCGTTCACATTTTCAGCTCTGTTAGTACAGATAATCAACCATTTATTCAAAGTTGGTGCACTTAAGATCTTGCAATTTCGCATATCCTTGGACCAATCAGCAGCAGACACTAGCTGACATGGAGAAATATAACGGTCATGAAATGATTGAACAAATTCATTCAGAGTGCAATAAAATAAAAACAATGTGAGGATGCATCAAATTTACCATAAGAGAAGTACCAGTTTTCTGCATGGTTTGCTATTCAGTTTTAAAACTGTAACTGTTCAACATCACAGAACCTGACTTTTTTAGAGTATGGGAGGCACTGTAGCTCAATTCTTACTGTATGCATAAGGAATGAGACATAGAGGTTAAACAACTTGTCCAAGGTCACAAGGATACAGGAGTTGCACTGCCAAAGAAAATACTATTCTTGGTGACTGTATACCTTGGGCAAGTCCCTTTACTTCTTGGACCTCTGGTGTGGGCAATGAAAAGTGTCTGGTTAAAGATCTCTTAGGTTCCCTTCTAGCACTAAGAATCTATGACTCTTAATGTGATCTCCAAGACAATCTCTTCACTGCATGCACCTGGGTATCTCAAAGAGAAAATGCTTAGTGTTGATACAGTATGTATCAACACTAACTATAAAGGCAGTAAAAAATGTACATTATGCTAGCAATGATATGTCTAAGAGCAGAGATGAAGCCAAAACTCAGGCTCCTTTCTCAGTCTTAGAAGGTCCTCAGGTGATCAGAGCCAAAAACAAGCTCGCTGCACTGAAGAAATGGGGTGTTGTTGTTGTCGTTAAGTGCTGTCGAGTCGATTCCAACCCAAAGCGACCCAGTATAGGGTTTCCGAGGAGCAGCTGGTGAGCTTGAACTGTCAATCTTAACAGGGTAGGGGCTTTAAATAGATCACCAGCCATCTGCTTACACCCATGGGCTGGAATAAAATGAAAATGTCTTTAGTGTGGCAAGCTAGGAAGAACCACCGTTAGAATTAACAGTCTAATAAATTATGCATTAGGCTGCTAACCATAAGGTTGACAGTTCAAATCTACCTGTTGCTTCACTGTATAAAGATAAGGCTTTCTGCTCCCATAAAGATTTATAGCCTCAGAAATAGGGTCACTATGAGTCAGAAAACCACCACCACCATTGTAGTCACATGTCTTGCTACTCAAAGTGTCTATGGACAAGCCACATGGACATCTTCTGAGAGCGGGTTAGAAATGCACTTCTGAGCCCCACACTGTTGTTGTTGTTGTTAAGTGCCATCGAGTCGGGTCCGACCCATAGCGACCCTGTACAGGGTTTCCGAGGGTGTAGAGCCCCACACTAGACCTACTGAATCTACAGGTTAACAAACTCCCCCCGCCCCCAGGTGATTCATAAATGTACTTTTTGTTGTTAAGTGCCATTGAGTCTGTTCCAACTCACAAATACCCTGTATAGGGTTTCTAAGGAACAGCTAGTGGGTTTGAACCACCAACCTTGCAATTAATAGTCTAGTGCTTATCCTACAGTGCCATACCAGTACTTCATAAACACACTAGTGCTTCAGAAGCATTCCAATCCCTTTATGTTGCTAACTCAGAAGCTGGGGCTAAGGGAAGTTATACAGCTCTGGAGCACAGTCACGGGCTTAGAATGCTGGTGTACTGACAGTGAAGCCACTTCCACCAAAGGCTCTCACTTACAACCACCACCCATTTTCAAGATGTCTTACCACTGGGTGGTTAAGTGGAAAACAAAAAGAGAGGGCTATCCCTCCATAGATGGTTCTATCTGATGCTATGGTCCATTGCTTTCCATTACAGCAGGTATGAGGGAAACCACAGCCCTCATCCGTAACACTTCTACCAACTATCATCTTGTGGAAAGCATGAGGCTAAGGACAATATGCCCAAAGCATACTCTGAGGTCAGTCAACCTTTCGTTTGTACAGTTTCTAGAATCCAATTTCAGAATGGCACATTTGGTCAAGAAGTCAACGACATGATCACCTCAGACACCCACCACCACCCTTAGGAGGGACGTGTTCTCCCATTTTAATGCTCTTCCATATGAGACCTATTTACACACACACACAGAGGCAGCCAAAGCTCTGACAAATAAGACTTTGCTTATAGAGATACTGAAACAGAAAGGCTTGAATTTTTCGTCAGTTTCCCCAGCTTGAGAAATGCTGTGTGTGTTCTTCCTTTTTGGTTTTCTGACCCCAGATCTTTGCACATTTTGTTGTAATGTTTGTCTTTATCTTCTCGAGCTGATCTTTGAATTTTCTTTTCAGCTCTTGGACCTCCTCATTTCTTCCATTTGCTTTAGCATCTCTATGCTGGAGAGCAAGTGTCAGTGTCTCTTCTGACATCCATTTTGACCTTTTCCTTCTTTCTTTTCTTAATTAATTTTTGCTTTCTGGATTGGGCAGTGTTTGGTTCTGCTGTGCATAAGGTCACTATGGGTCGGTACTAACTCAATGACACCTAACAACAAAAACACCTGTATGATGTTCTTGATGTTACCCCACAACTCTTCTGGCCTTCAGTCTTTAGTGTTTAATGTATCAAATCTGTTCTTCAGATGATCTCTAAATTCAGGTGGGATATATTCAAGGTCTTATTTTGGCTCTCATGGACTTGTTTTCATTTTCTTCAACTTCAGTTTGAATTTACATATGAGCAATTGATGATCTCTTCCACAATCTGCCCTGGCCTTGTTTTCACTGATGATATAGAGCTTTTCCAAAGTCTCTTTCCGCAGATGTAGTCAATTTGATTTCTATGTATTCCATCTGGTGAGGTCCATGTGTATAGTTGTTTCTTATGCTGTCTAAAGAAGGTATTTGAAATGAACAAATCATTGTTTGCAGAATCATTTCTTTCACCAAGGCCGTATTTTCCAACTACTGGTGCTTCCTCTTTGTGCCCAACCTTTGCATTCCAATCACTGGTAATGATCAATATATCTTGATTGCTTGTTTGATCAATTTCAGATTGAAGAAGTTGGTAGAATTCTTCTGTTTCATCCTCACTGGCTTTAGTGGTTGGTGCATAAATTTGAATATTAGTGGTATCAACTGGTCTTCCCTGTAGGCGCTTTAAAGAGGTCTTACGTAGGATTTTGCTTTAATACAATATGTCATTTGATTTCTTGACTTCTACTTTCATGTGTGCTAATGACTGATCTAAAAAAAGTGAAGTTTTTGAAAACTTCAATCTTTTCTCCATTTATCTTGTTGTTATATATTGGTCCAGTGGTGAGGATTTTTGTTGTCTTTAAATTGAAGTGAAACCCATACTGAAGGCTGTGGTCTTTGATCTTCATCAATATTTTATGTCCTCTTTATCGTCAGCAAGCCAGATTGTATCATGTGCATATCATATTGTTAATGAGTCTTTCTCCAATCCTGTTAATATACTCTTATTAATATAATCCAGCTTCTCAAATTATTTGCTCAGCATACAGACTGAATATGTATGGTGAAAGAATACAAACCTGAAGCACATATCTTTCCCAATTTTAAATCATTCAGTGTTCCCTTGTTCTGTTAGAACAGATGCCTCTTAAGTATTCTGCAACACTTAATTGTGCTCATGAGGAACCTATACATAGCTCAAGAGGAGCACAAGAGTCTGAAATACCATTTTCTAATGCATCCTTAAACATGATACTACACCACATTGATTAAGCAAAATGTGTCTACTGTATGCCACCAAGGCCAGACAAGTCCATTTTGAAAAGGAAATCACAGGGGACCTCAAGGCTTAAGACAGAGGGATTGCAGAGAAGGCCCTGGATAAACCAAATGAATCTTGAAAGTCACTTTGTAGAAGCCCTGGTGGCTTTGTGGGTTAAACACTGGCCTGCTTAAAAAGGTCAGTGGTTCAAACACACCAGCCACTCTGCAAGACAAAAACAAGGCTATCTGCTCCCATAAAGATATGCAGTCTTGGTAACCCCAAGGAACAATTCTGCTCTGTCCTATAAAGTTGCTATGAGTCAGAAACGTCTCAGTGTCAGTGGATTGTTCCTCTGGAAGGAGGCCTGGATGTATAATAAGCAAGCACTCAACTGCTCACCAAAAGGTTGGTGGTTTGAATGTACCCAGTGACTCTGATGGGGAAAGATCTGCCAACTGCTCCTGTAAAGATTACCGCCTAGGAAACGCTATTCTGCCACATGGGGTCACTCACTATGGGTTGGAATTGACTTGATGGCACCCAAATCAATAGTCACTCTGGTAAGCAACCAAAGTTACACATCTCCAAGTGGATTCTTCATAATGAAAATAAAACCACAGCACTTACAACTTGGTCTTGCATAAATATTTTTTCTGAAGGCACAACACGACCAGTCAGAGACATCTGGCCTCCAAAATGCAGTCCCCAGGTCTCCAGTTCGAAGCGTGCATCCTTGTTTCTGTCGAGAGATTAGAGATTTGAATCACTAATTTGTTTATTTTATAAAGCGATTTAATCATTAGAGATAAAATTATATGTTACTGAATTATTTAGGGACTGATTCTTTTTTTGTTTCTTTAAGGTTCCTGGCTTTTATTTCTATGCACCATTTTGCCTTATTTTCTCAGTCTTCAACACACCCACAGAGCAATTCATAATTGTTTTTCAGCAATTTCTTCTATGACTAGGACAACATAATGCTCAAAAGAATCATGAGAAAATGATGTCAATCTGGGCCAGACAGCAGTGGTAAATGGCTTCCAGTGTGACAAAATTAGAAAAATGGGTCACAGAGTTGAACAGACCTGGAGTTAAGTTTTAGATCCAACACATAGTGATGCATATGTGACTTTGAGCAAAATATTTCATCTTTCTAAGCCTTGATGCTTATTGGTAAAATTGTTGTTGTTAAGGGCCATCGAGTCGGTTCCAACGCTTAGTGATCCTGGATATGGTTTCCAAGAAGCGGCTTCTGAGTCTGAACCGCCGACCTTGTAGTTCAAACCGACCTTATGGTCCAGTGCTTTACCCCACAGCGCCACAAAAATATAGGGATAGTAAAAGCAACTCCTTCAAAGCATTCCTTAAATGGTTAAATATGGCAGTACAAGCAAAATGACTGCCACAGTGTGTGGCACAGGCAAAGTGCTCAATCATGTGAGATGGTATCATTCTTATTAGTGAATTTATCAAGACAAAGAGTATTTTAAAGTTTCTCAATATGCAAATCCAAAATATTACCATTTCAATATGTGGTACTACCCATATCCACTTGGGACTAATGGCCATGGTATGGGACAGTACAGAAGGGAGGTCAGAAAGGAGAAGCAGGGGAAACTCAATTTTCTCACTACAGGTTCAACAAACTGTCAGACAGCATAACTGAAGGCAGGAACAGTTTGATAATCAGAAGGGCTGAGCCACAAGAGGACAAAGGTATTGCCAAGTTTTTAAAAATGTACAATGAAGTTGTCCTAATGTTCAGTGTGTGGATACCATTATGTTAAGGTCTGAGCCTTCCTGATTCTGACCATTGGAGAGCTAAGGTGTCTGTTGTTTTGTTTTTAAATTACAACCTCTTTCTTCAGTCAATTTTGTTTCCCCAGAACCCTGATGTCTTTTTAGACAGATGAAGGTAAAGCTGTCTAGTTGAATGAGATGGTTTCATCAAGGAATAACAGTATGAGAGGACACCCACCCTAACTCATGGGGCTTCATGTGTATCAGAGTAAAACTATGTTCCACAGGGTTTTCAATGACTGATTTTTTAGAAGCAGATCACCAGGACTTTCTTCCAAGGCACTTTAAGGTGACCTCAAACCTCAGACCTTTTGTTTAGCAGCCACGCACATCAACCCTTTGCACCACCCAGAGAGAGTAGAATGCCCTATAAGGTTTTCAAGGCTCTAATCTTTATGGTAGCATAGTGGTTACAAATCGGGCTGCGAACCTCAAGGTCAGCAGTTCGAAACTACCAGCTGTTCCATGAGAGAAAGATGAGGCATTCTGCTCCCGTAAAGATTTACAGCCTTGGAAACCCTGTTCAGGGTCGCTATGGGTGGGAACAGGCTCCACGGCACATAACAACAACAACAATCTTTATGGTAGCAGACTGCCACATCTTTCTCCTGAGGTGGGACTGTTGGGTTTGAACCATCCACTGTTCAAGTAGCAGACTAGTACTTTAACCACTGCAATACCAAAATCAACCCAAACCCACTGTCACTTCCTATAAAGGAGGTGGTTTCAAAGAGTTCGTGGGAAAATTTCATTACTTTTTCATTCCATTTTCCACTAACTTTTTGAAGCTCCCTCATAGAATATATAATTCTATAAACTAGGCTGGGTACACACTACTTCCACAAAGGCATCTTGTCCACCCAAGTACCTCTGGATATCATCAGCAAGTCTGGCCAACTGCTGCTGCCTGTTCAAAGGACTGAGATGCATTACTTCAGCCATAGCCTTCATCAGCTGGAAATCAGAGACGGCATGGCCACTCAGCCCTAAAATGCAAACCAAAACCAAGTGAAAAAATGGAAAGTATACTGTGTAGCCCCCACCCATTTCAGGCACCATTTAACATTTTCACGTAAACTAACTCATGTTCACCACCTAAACGTTGTTGTTGTTGTTAAGTTCCGACTCATCGCTATCCTGTATTGGATTTCTGAAGAGTGGCTGATGGGTTTGAACTGCCAACCTTGCAGTTAGCAGTCCAGAGCTTATCCGACAGCACCACAGACAGCAATGTCCCCAAACTGCAATTTCTTATAAAGAAATGTCATTCAAAATTTTCTAGTAGCTACATTTTAAAAAGTTAAAAAGAAACAGGTGTCTAATTATTTTAAATAATATATTTCGCTTCACCCACATAACCAAAAATGTAACCCATAAAAAAAATTTTTTTTTAATCTATGGATCAGAGAGCTTCCTTCTTTTCATACTAAATCTTCAAAACCTATATGTCTCCATTCTGTTTCTCAGCTGCACTTGTCATATTGGAAGTGCTCACCAGACTCAGGCAGCTTCCATCATGACCTGTGTAGACGTGGCACATTAGCCTTGCCACTCAGAATAAGCATCCCTCACCTAAAGAATTATACCTTCATTAATTTTCCTAGTTGCAAAATAATGAAATACACATCATAATTGATTCAACCACTACAAAAGTATGAAATAAGAAAGTCCCTCTCCTTCCTGATCCTCCCCTGTTAATCTAATGAAGATTATTAAAAGTACTCTAGACAGTTATTCAAATTCTACTGTAGAGTGAGCATTACCTTCTGAAAGCTCATGCAAAAAGAAAATAAGGATCACTTTGACACCACGGAACAAGATTAATAATAAAGGTGAAGAAAATCAGTCACATTGTTTCCCACACTAAAGAAGTTCAACAAATGGCAAAGAGTAGCTTAGGAAAATATTTGGGGGTCAATTTTATATCAAAATAGCAAATTTGTTGTTGTTAAGTGCCGTCAAGTCGGTTCCAACCCATAGCAACCCTGTACAGGGTTTCCGAGGGTGTAAATCTTTACGGGAGTAGAAAGCCTCATCTTTCTCCCACGGAGTGGCTGGTAGTTTCGAACCACTGACCTTAAGGTTCGCAGCCCGATTTGTAACCACTACGCTACCAGAGCTCCTTAAAATAGCAAATAGACTCCATGAAATAAAGGACTCAAAAAAAAAAAAAAAAAAAAGATGGATGACTTTTAACATGTCAAGCAATTTCTAAAGGGCATTCAATCTTCCCCTTGTTCTTTACTGGGTGAATTACTTAAAGGGCCCATCCTCTCTGGGTTAATTGAAATCTCTAGCACTCAGCTACCTTCAGCAGCTCCCATCCACTGCTAAGTATATCTTGTGTGATCAGAGCTATAAAACATAACCATTACCTGTTAGATAGCAGAGTTCAGGCATCAGGTGGACCATCCGAGCTTCACTATTGTCATTTCTCTTGCTTTTCAACAGACTAACAAGCACAGGCTGATTTAGGTCAGACAAAGTAATATCATACTGCTATAAAAGCAAAGATTAGTGAGAGAAAAGTTAATATGGAAACACGGCAAACTGAGCATCCTAGATTATTAGCAATAAGCATCAGTATTATATAAACAAATCTTTCCAATGAAGAAAAGCAATTCCATGGTTATTTACTCATTTTTACTTCTTTCCCAAGACTCATCTTTTATTTCAGAGGGTCAGGTTTATCACGTTAATGATTATCTTTAATAATGCAACACCATCTACCTTTAAAAAAACAATAATACTCTCTCTCTTTTCAGGGTTTATTCAGAGTACCATCCAGTTAGCACTATGCACACTGCAATGACCCCAATTGGTGTGGCCAGCATTTTCACCATTGAAGACTAGGGCAGACTGCTGCCATATCCAAGTACATGGAGTCCTGATGTGGCGCTGTAGGATAAGCACTGGACTGCTAACCACGAGGTCGGTGGTTCAAACCCACCAACAGCCCGCTGGAAAACCCATACAAGGTCGATGTGAGTCAGAACTGACTGACGCACTTAACAATAAACATATTTGAAGGCAAGGTTATACTGAGTCAACTTCCAAGTTCTCAAAACAGCATGACTTGTCTTCAACTTCCAAGATATATGATGACACAGGAAAGCAGCTCTGAAGTCTGATCAATGTGAATTTGATTCCCTTTACTTACCTGGACTGTGATATTGGAGACCTTAATTAACTTCCCTGAGACTCAGCTTTCTTCACTTGTGCAATGAAGGTAACAGTAACCCTGTAGCAGCTACAGAAATCATCAGTAGCATGCTGTTGCTGTAACACGCTGTTCAGTCAGTTGTGACTCACAGCAACCCTGTATAGAGGGTTTCCAAGAAGCAGCTGGTCGGTTTGAACCACTGACTTTGTGACTAGCAGTCCAGTGTTTATCCTACAGTGCCACACCAGGACTCCATCATACTAGTAGCATAGTGTCTGTTGTTTTTGTTATGTGCCGTGGAGTCGGTTCCGACTCATAGCGACCCTGTACAGGGTTTCCAAGGCTGGAAATCTTTACGGGAGCAGAACGCCTCATCTTTCTCCCGCAGAACAGCTGGTAGTTTCAAACTGCTGACCTTGCGGTTCACAGCCCAATTCATAACCACTACGCCTAGTTTATAATAAATTCTCAGCAATTGTTGGTTCCTTTCCTAACTTTACTGAATTTCAACATTGTCATCTTGGTAAAAATTCTGTTATCTTCTAACAGCAAAGGTTCTGATTAACATTCATTTCCAGTATCATTTACTCAACACTAATGATACAATAGGAGCTCTGGTAGCGTAGTGGTTACAAATCGGGCTGCGAGCCACAAGGTCAACTGTTCCGTGAGAGAAAGATGAGGCTTTCTGCTCCCGTAAAAATTTACAGCCTCAGAAACCCTACGCAGGGTCACTATGAGTCGGAACCGACTCCATGGTACTTAACAACAACGATACAGTAACTGTCTGTATGTTCTGTAAATGCCTGGGCATTACGTAACAGTCATACCAATAATTAAAATTAAGAATGCAGGAGTTTCTTTAATTCAATAAGAACTTTTAGTCATTAAAATTAAAAACAATTTGGGGATCCAAGTTTTATGTAATGACTACAACTACTACTATGGTTGTAAAGCTCGGAGCAATCTTTACTGAAAGAGAATTTTCATACATGACTTCAGTAATTCAGTGCATACCTTATGCTTACTATGGTCCTGGAATTCCAATGGATACAGAGACAAGTTCCTCTCCCTTTACACACAGTTACAACACTGTCAAGCAAGGCAGACAGGAAGCACACATGATATGTTATGGGGGCAAAAAGGGCTCTCAATTACTAGCCAAAAGATTGATGGTTCAAAACCACCTATAAACACACCTTGGAAGACAGGAGTGGAGAGCTACTCCTGAGAGGTCACAGCCTTGAAAATGCTATGAAGAAATTCTATTCTGTACATACAGGGTTGCATGGGGTCACCATGGGTCAGAATCAACTTGAAAATAACTAACTAAAACAAGCACTTGACATTTTCCCTCAGTTAATCTTGTTGTTGTTGTTGTTATGTGCCGTGGAGTCGGTTCTGACTCATATCGACCCTGTATAGGGTTTCCGAGGCTGTAAATCTTTACAGGAGCAGAAAGCCTCATCTTTCTCCCGCGTAACAGCTAGTAGTTTCGAACTGCTGACCGCGAGGTTTGCAGCCCTATTTGTAACCACTACGCCAACAGAGCTCCTCAGTTAATCTTAACATACCTTTAAAATAAATGGTACCATTGCCTTCAGAGGTCAGGAAATACCATAAAAAAATTAAACAACATTCCCAAAGCCCCATCACTGGAAATTAGCACAGCCAGGTTTCATCACTTAAGGCTTGAGGACCCTTGCTTATCACACCACTCAGTATTGGATCCCTAGGTGGTAGGATTTAGTGAAATAATTAATGGATGGCAAATCAGGGACAGCTTTATGAAGAAGGTAATGTACAAAAGGGAACCCTGAAAAAGATAAGGGAACAAAAAGGAAGGATTCCCAGGTAACAGTTTAAGAAGCCGGAGCACATTCCAGGAAGAGGGCATTCTGTTTCTCTAGAGCTTGGCCAAACATACCCTGTAAACTGCTATCTAAAGGAGATTTTTACCCTCTCCCTTATCCCAAGCTTACTGCACTTAAAAATATTTTTCATGACAGGATAAAATGGAGAAATATAAAGGTCATTTATCAAGACATCTTCCACTTTGAAGACAGACTACATAATCATGTATGTTCTTTTCCTGGGAACAGGAAAGTGATACTATTTTGGGTTTCCCCTCCTCAATTACAGTATGTATACAATGAGGCACAACTCTCTACAGAAAAAGTGAGTGGATTTTATCATGATTCCCTTTTCAGAAAGTCACACAACCTAAAGTACATCTGTTCAAATAAGAACAATTTAACCGTGTTGGAAAAGAAACCTCTATGTTTAATAACCTTTGGGTTTAATAAGCAAACATCTGTGTAGCACATTTTATGCACAAGATGATTTGCTAGGCACTATGCATCAAGGATTACCCATACTGCCACCCCTGTTCTACCAGGAACACGTGCTCTAGAAACAAGCAATGAGCGGCACAGGTGCCTACAGAAGTGAACAGCTAACTCTCATGTGGGTGCGACAGGAAACAAACTCAGAGAGGATTTCACCATGAGGTGACACTGACCTTGTGCTAGAATTAGACTTGGTGGAGAAGGAGGGAGGTATCGGTGGATTTGCACAGGCTTCTAGTGAGCATGAGCAAAGGTGGAGGAAGATGGAGTGCTGAGTGAGTGGACCAGGGTGATAGCAGCCAGGGCTATATGCAGCGTAAATGTCACAGGCCATGGGACTACAAAGGTGGGATGGGTTCAAACTGTGTGATAGCAGAGGTGAAGGAGTGGAAGACGGAGGCTAGGTATACACAACTGTACAGGCACCTAGCGGCAGTATCTCCTGCATGGCTTACACTGCACCATCAAAGCTGTCATTAGTTGCTGACATGTTGATTCCGATTCATAGTGATCCTCTGTGTGCTGTTCAGCACACACAGGCTTTACTTCGGAGGTGCCTCCGGGAAGATCTGAACCTGCAGTCTTTTGGTTGGTTGACTAGTTGTGGCACCGAGAGACTGTACAAATGACACTCCAGGTTTAGTAGTGAGCCAAAGGTTACACAGCTAGGGCCAAGATCATCTTACACCAGTTGATGCTCTGAATTACATTTTCCGTCTAGGTTTCAGAAAGATCTCTCAGATGGCAGTGAGGATGATGGATAATAGTGGGGCAAGACATTCTTAAGGAGGAGACTGCAAAGTCCCAGGTAGGAGGCAGTGAGATTCTGCATTAATGCAGTCAGTGATAATCACGCTGTGAAGGAGGGGGTAGGTTCCAGAGAGAATTCAAGGGTATAGAAGGCAGAACTCATCTTGATGACAATTGTATCAGGAGAAAAAGGTTTTAAAAAAAAGTAAAATGATTTCTTAACCAAGATGCAGAATTTTCAAGGAGAAATAGGAATAGGAAGGCAATGAATTCAGTTTTGAATTATGTTCATTTGAGATGCCTGAAGGATATTCATGCAAATATGGCCTGAAAATAGAACTGAGTATGCAATGCAGGAATGAGGGCAAGGCAAAGACGCTCTATTTGAGTCATATCAGAACAAGAAGAAAACCTATATGAGGGACCTATGGTGACTAATAAATAACATTTCACATGTAGGGGAAAGGAAGGAAGAAAACATCAAAGGAGGCTGAGGTAAACATGAACACCAGCAGAGAACTACCAGGGGTGTGTCATTCTAGGACAGCAATTCAAGAAGGTGGGAGTGGTCACTAGCATCTGATGCCACCAAAACCCCTTAGGACAACAACAGCAGAAATTGACCTTAATAAATCTATTTCCATAGCAACAGGGCCAGAAACCAGAGTGGTGAGACTTGAGAAAAGATGAATGGAAGAGGTGCGGGCAGCTAGAACAGATGACCTTCTAAAGGATCCAGCTACTGGGGAAAGGGAAATGATTATATTTGAAAGTGTAGAAAAATCAAAGAAGGAGTTTGTTTGTATTTAAAAACACCTGCGAGATTTCAGAGATTAGGATATGGGTGTACATTAAAGAGAAGGATCCCCTGAAAGGAACTGAAAGTGGGAGAGCTAAAAATGGCAAGATTCAGTCAACAAACATTTATTGAGCATCTACCACATGCAAGATGTCAGCACTCCACATACAGAAATAAAGAGCTCAAGACAACCTTACGGTCCAGGGGCAGACTGACCATTCACACTTTTCTGGTGAGAATGTGATGTAGCTAAACTCAGGGGAGGGTGCCCTAAGGACAGTGTCAGGGCCCCTTGAGAGGTGACCGTTGAGTTGATACTGAAATATGTTGTAGGACTGACTGGTCGTTAAAGGAGGGGCCCAGAAAGAGGAAGAAATGTGTGTGCAAGTGCACAGGGAGATGATTAGGTCAAGGAAGCACAGAAGTCAAAGGTCACCAGAGTGTAAGAGGGGAACAAAGGACTGGTAAGAGATAAGGGAGTACCAGATCATAAAAGGCCATGTAAATTCCGATAAAGGAGCTTCAGATTGGTTCCTTGAGGGAGATCACTTGGACTATCAGGTAAAGGGACCAGGAGACAGAATTAGGGCCTGAGTCAAACCAGGCATGGTGGGGATTGGAAGGAAGGGACAAGTCAAAGAATTATGAAGGAGGACTCAGCAGACTTGGAAAGGAAGAAGGAAACTTCTCAAGCTAAGGGGAAATGTTGAAGAAGAAGAAAAATTGTGTGTCTGTTTTAAGTGCCGTCAAGTAGGTACTAACTCATAAGTACCCTGTATAGGGTTTCCAAGGAGTGGATTTGAACTGCTAACCTTGTGATTAGCCACCTAACTCTTAATGGACCAGGACTCTGCCTCCATGGGGGGAGGGAGGGTGCAAAGGAGACTTCACGGCAGTTTCCACTGATCCTACCTGCCTGTAGTAATCTACGTAGGTGACCTCAGTGCCATCCCGCTTCTGAAAGGTGTCTGAAGGTCTCACACACCAATCGATGTCATCAATGCGATAAGTTTTATTATTGTATCTGGAAAGAAGCAAGAGATCTTTTAAAAAAATGTTCCAAATCATACAAAACAAGCTGCCATTTCACCCAACTTTTAATTCATCAAAGTATGTTGTTGTTACGTACTGTGGAGTCGGTTCCAATGCATAGCGACCCTGTATAGGGTTTTCAAAGAGTGGCTGATGAGCTTGAACAGCCGACCCGGCAGTTCAAATGACTTTGCAGTCCAGTGCATTAACCCACAGAGCTACACCAGGTCGCAACAGTATAAGACTCCAGAAATTCAGAAATTAAGGAAGACAGTAACACAAGAATAGCCATGTTTTTTAAGTGTACATCCAATAACTTTTTAAAAATTGTTCGTTGAGAATGTGCACTAAATCAGCAGTTTCTACATGTACAATTCAGTGACAATGACTACAGTCTTTAAGTTGTGCAACCATTCTGGCCCTCCTTTTCCAAGCTGTTCCTTCCCCATTAACATAAATGCACTGCTTCCTAAGTTTCCTATCTAATCTTTCGAGTTGCTGTTATTAATTTGATATCACATAGATAAATCTTGAAAGAGCAAGGCAGGACATTCTTTGCTAAGTAAATTAAACAACTGTTTGGTTTGAAGGGCATATTTTTGGTTTAAAGATAATCTCAGGGCAATCAATTCACGGGTTCATATGCCCTCCATTGCTCCAGAAAATCTTGATCCATGAGAATTTGAAATTCTGTTTTGTATTGCACCCTTTTATCAGGATTCTTCTATAGAATCTTTGATCAAAATGTTCAGTAATGGTAGCTAGACACTATCAAGTTCTTCTGGTCTCATAGCAAATGATGCAGTTGATCCTGAAGGTAATTAGCCACACATTCCATACGTTTCTCCTATATCTAATGTTCCTTCTTCTTCTGTTGCTCCAGAAGAACAGAGACTGAATGTTGTGCTTTCATTGGCCACTTACAAGCATTGAAGACCCCAGGCATTATGCAATTAAGAACAGAAGCACTAAACACATTATAAGGCCAATTCATTGGAATATTCCAAGAAACCATAGCCCTAAACCTTCAAAACAAGGAACCAAATCCCATAAAGTTTTTGGATATACACAAGTAACCTCAGCAGCTGCTGTTTTTTCATTGTTGTGTTTTTGATGATTCGCTCTTATCTAAGAAGCACATTCATTAAATCACTACTATACGAGAAGACATCCATATTCCAACAAATCTAATGGGAAAGTCATTACTTTGCGGTGTACTTTTCTAACTGACAAGCAACTTCAGGTAACCAGTAAAATAGTTGCCATCAAGTCAGTTTCCACTTAGGGCAACCCATGTGTGTCAGAAGAGACTGTGGACACAAGACTTTCAGGGGCTGATTCTTCATAAGTAGGTCACCTGGCCTTTCTTCAGAGAAATTTCTGGGTGGACTCAAATCCCCAACCTTTCACTTAGCAGTCAAGCATGTTAACCCTTTGCACTAAGTAGGGATTAAAGCTAAGTAAATCATTCTTAAACATCCGGTTGGTACAGCATTCCTCAAAAACCTTTCCCCTCCACTTCTGATGCCACTCAAACATTCTCAGCTTATAATTTTTTTCTGATAAAAATCATCAGAAGAAGGCTAATCAACAATGCAGTTTTGTATCCTGCATAACCTGCCAATGAGGGTTGGCCCTTGGAAAAACTGCATAGTAAGTCAGCTACTATCATTGTAAGCTGTCATTCTAAGCTCCTTCTCCCCTTGAGCAGAATTTCTGTGTGGTACAATTGATTAACAGCTAAATGCTAAAAATGGCCTAAGAGTTTGGGAGGGTGCCTAAGACTTGTCTTTACTAAAATTCCAATTTATCTTTCCTGTAAATCAGCCCCACTCCCCCTGCACCCCACTGAGATTCGGACAGTGCTTCCACCCTGGAAAGTCCTGATGCTTGCACAATATTGTGAATGTAATTAATGTCACTGAATAAGACACGTAAACATGCTTAAATGCACATATATTGTTATACATTTTTTAATACCATGAATAAAATTTTAAAATGGGTGGGCAATGCAGAGAGAGGCACAGAGTGTTGGAGGTATGTATGGGGGTAGAGACTGCTGATGTGCAGCAACAGGCAGGTAAAGAGCAGGACATGTTGGACTGTGGACAGTCCCGAACACCACATGAGGAAGTCTAAAATCTAGCCAATGGAGAACAGCCAGGCCTTCTAAACGGGTGTGTAAACTGATCAACTCTGTGCACAGGGCAATACCCTGATGTTATTCTGGTTCCCAAATACCATAAATAATTTATTCTCTGAAGAAAAATGTATTTAAGTGCAGGTGTTTACCTTGTAAGGACAATGAGTCCTAGCAGTTCTTTCTCACACGCCTGCGTGAAGGAAGACATGCCCGTTTTGTGATAAAGACCAGTCATGAATTCCAGAACAGTCTCATTCCGGAGGACTTTATAGCATACATCAGCACTAAACAGCAGCTTGCTTTCAAACTGTGACACAGAAATGGTAAACCCAGGCCAAAGGGACAACCTTTAAAAAGTAATCATAAAATATCAGAAAAAAAGAAACTTTTTAAAACGAGGGTTTTACATAAGAATTCTCTGGATTTTATCAGGCAGTATTTTCCTTAGGCCGATTTCTTCCAGTTTATATGTATTTTTAGCTACATGAGTGTTTTTTATACATGTTGCTATTATTGCTAAGTGCCATTAAGTCAGTAACCCTTTCCAAGGATAGGCTGATGGGTTTGAACTGCTGACCTTGTTAGTGGTTAGCAGCCCAGTGCTTCTCCTACATACAGCACCACACCAGGACTCAACATATTCGGGATTACATGCATTCCTGAAGAACAGGATGTCTCATATGGACTGGATAATTATTTGTCCTGTACAATGTAGACATTTAGCAATATCCCTGACTTCTACCTACAAAATATCAGTAGGAGCCCTTCAGTGTGACAACCAAAAATGTCTCCAGATACTGTACAATGTTGCCTGTGAGAAAAATCACCCCTAGTTGAGACCCACAGCTATAGGATTGATAGGTTTATAGACAAATCTATCTCAACAGGGGAGTCTTGGTGTGGCACTGTGGGTTAATACGCCAGACTGCAAAGCTGGCTGAACTACAAGTTTGGCTGTTCAAGCTCACGACCTGCTCCTCAAAATCCTATACAGGATCGCTATGGGTAGGAACAAACTCGACAGCACTTAACAACAACATCTCAACGGGAAATTTTCTAGGTTCAGAAAAGCACATCTGCTCAAAAGTGAAATGGGCGGATAGATTCAATAATGAGACTAAGACATACTTAGGTGATACACAACTAAACAAGAAAATCTGTAGCCTTTTCCTTTCCACCTTTGTAAATGCTATAGACTGAAAAACCGTGAATAAGAAATGGCATGAAAGAACAGAACACTGATTCATTTTATATTTTTGTGGACTTAACTGACAGACCTTCAGGACCATCATATGCACTGAGCACAGACCCCAAAGTCAGTCCACTGTGGACCCACAAGCATTTCCAATCCTGGTGTCACAGTAAGTGACAAGGGGGAATGGGTAGAATGCTTTTTAAAGACCATCTAACACATTGAATTAGATACAGAAACCAGGTCATTTTTGCTCCACCTGGCAGAAAAAGTCAAAGACCACCCAACCCCTCCACCCTCGTTTTTCTTTTTATATAGACTTTTTCCCCTTTGTGTATCTATCGTTGAGACAATTGTTTCTTTGTTTTTATCTTCTCCATTGATTTTGGATAGCCAAGTAACTTATTTAAGATGTATCTGACCACTTTCCCTGAAGGACCTACTTCTCAGTTTAGATTAAGAATTCTGTGTTTCTAACAGTTCTATCCTTCACTAGGGTAGTGGGTTGGTTTCTCTGCTTAGCCTCTGCTTAACAAGTGATTTCTTATTTACTGCCTTACCTATATAAATTGTCATTCAGCAAGAAACAGTAACTACGTATGAGAACATAACACAGTTTACTCTACTTTCATGATTATTTGTCTACACGGAAAATTCAGTTTTTGAATATGACAATGATCTGCCACATTTATATTTATAAAACTGGAAACAAAAAAAATTTTAAAGGCCAGTCTGCTGACTTCATATTAATCATTCCAGAAAAAAAAATAACTTGAATATTACAAAAATCTTATTACATTGTACACCGTGTAGTCTCTCATAGGAGGCATAATTACGTAACACTATACTGAAAATGATGTGGCTCACATTAAGACAATTTCAGAGTAGCAGAAATATAAATAAACCTACTTGTGTTGGGGAATTTCCACTGGCTCAGAAGGATTATAGTAGTTCCGTCCGATTTGGTACATGGATAACTTTTTTAAGATCCTGCAGATAAAGTTTTTGAAGCTTGAGTAAGTATCAGTCAGTGACAATGTGTAACTTTATTCTATTACTAAAAATAATGATAAACACATAGAGCAAAGAACTGTCATTTTTATAGCACTGGGATGCCTGTTGTTGTTGTTGTTAAGTGCCGTCGAGTCGGTTCTGACCCATAGTGACCCTGTACAGGGTTTCCGAGGCTGTAAATCTTTACGGGAGCAGAACGCCTCATCTTTCTCCCACGGAGCGGCTGGTAGTTTCGAACTGCTGGCCTTAAAGTTCACAGCCCGATTCGTAACCACTACGCTACCAGAGCTCCATTAGGTACTAAATATATACATGAGTGTATATACAAGGAGACCTCAGAGAGTTTGTGGGAAAATTTCATTATCTTTCTATTCCATTTTCCACAAACTTTTTAAAGCCCTTCGTGCAAGAAGTATCACTCTTTCATATGTGAGAATGGTCCAACTTATGTTATCTTTGTCTGTCTGCATTTAACTGCCGAGATAACTATGTGGTTCCCTGCCAATTCAGCCCTGTGGTTATGGCATTCTGGTTAGCCTGGAGGGTGAGAAAAGTCATACCTAACGTGTCTTTTGGCTTCCGCTCTGTTTTGAAATGAAAAGTCTATTTCCAATGAGTTACTCACACTCCCCAGATGCTACCAAGCAACATGCCTGTCTCCTCACCAACAAATCTCAGTCACCTTTGGAATTGAGACCTTGACAGCATGAGACTGCCCAGAGTATGTAGAAAAGCAGAGAGCTTCAAGTCAGAAAATGGAGGTTCCAACTGTGTGACTTTGAGTACAATCACTAAGCCTCAGTCTCTTCATCTATCAAACGGACTCTAGTAAGAGAATCCAGTCAGGTAAAAACATAAATGTCAAGAGTTCTGTAAGTGAAAGCCATCTTCCAAATGTTAGCTGATATAGAACTGTATTTTCTCCAGGGGGCATGTGAAGGCTGTCTTCTGAAGAGCAAATATGCAGCTCAGAGCTGAGGCCCCGATAAGATCAAAAGATGTCCGACCAGAATTAGGAAACAGTGGTCATTGTGGGGGAAGTCCCTATATGTGTACTGCTCTGCAAGGACAGGAAAGGTCCTGTCCTCAGCCTCTCCAGGGGCCTCTTCAGCAAAGAGCTCATCTAAGACTTTGAAACAAAACTAAAACTAAAGAAAGAAAAAACCCTACTGCCATTGAGTAGATTCTTATTCACAGTGACTCTACCTAGGATTTCCAGAGACTGAAAATCTCTGTAGTAGCAAGCAGCCTCATCTTTCTCCCACGAAGCAGCTAGTGGGTTTGAACCACTGACGTTGAGTTTAACAGCTCAGCACCTAACTGATCCACACTAGTAAACCAGCAGTTCTTGAGCTTTGAGGTACTGGGTCATCTGGGAAGTTTGCTAAAACTATGAATTTCCAGGTCCCATCCATGAAATTATGATTTATTAGTTCTGGTCAGGGGCCACGGAGTTTCCAAAATGACTTTAAAGCAGATGATCGTCGGACCAGTCAAGGAAACACTGGAAAGCTTAGTTCTAACCTTCCTTCTACCCCCACACAAACATGGGGAGAGAGAAAATGGTACTATCTTCTCGCATCCAGTATAAATGAGACTGGAGAAAGATAAATCTTTCACTTTACTAACTCAAACATACGGTTGTTGTGTTGTCAGCCAATATCGAGTCAGCCTGTCTCATGGAAACACCATTTATAACAAGACAAAGCTCTGCTTAGTCCTGTACCATCCCAATGATGGGTTGTGTACTAGACTGATAGAATCCGCAGAATTTTCATTGGTTGATTTTCATGAACACATCATCTGGTTTTTCTTCCTAATCTGTCTTAGTCTGGAAGCTCTACTGAAACTTTTTCATCATCACAGCCAAGCACACCTGACAGACCAGTCATTTGGTGTCTGAGGTGCATGAGGTGCATTGGTCAGGAATTGAACTCAAGTCTCCTGCACAGAAGGCAAGAATTCTGCCAGTGAAACACCACGGCTCCCTCATAACTCTTTGCTGCTGTTGTGTGCCGGCGAGGCAGTTTCTGAGAGCGGCTGGTGAGTTTTGAACTGCCGACCTTTCAGTTAGCAGCCCAGCGCTTATCCTATGGTGCCTCAGCTCAGCTTTGTCATGTTCTCTGAGTTGCCTTGAGTAATGGTGGTGGTGGTAGTGTGCTGTGGAGTAGGTTCCAACTCACAGTAACCCTGTATACAGGGTTTCCAAGGCTGTAAATCTTTATGGGAGCAGAAAGCCTCATCTTTCTCCCACGGAACAGCAGGTAGTTTCTAACTGCTGACTCTGAGGTTACCAGCCCAATTCGTAACCACTACGCTACCAGAGCTCCTTGACTTGAGTAATACTGGGTAATAATGATTTGTGCCAGTGAGAAGCTGTGCTGGATGGTGATGTACCTCTGTAAGCAAGTCCATGGAAGTTCTACCATGGTATTAAAAGAAAAATGGTCCTAAAGAGGTAACTGTTGCTGGCACACTGCCTACGAAATTGTTGATGATCTTAATACTCAGGCTCTATGCTTAAAAGTATCATTAGTCTAAATTAAATTCACTTTCCAATTATCTTACGTTTTGAAGATGCGGCTGAAAACCTGGATACACATAGGGGAGCTCGAGGGGAGCTCCCTCGTCAGAGTGATTGTAATCTTCACAGACTCGCCTCTCCGAGTTTCACTTGACAATTCCGTGACCTGGAAAAAGTAGTAGTTCATGTGTAATCTCTGGAATACCCCCACATGGGCAAAATGCTGCTATCATAAACTCATCACCATTTGACAGACATTAGCAGAAACCAAACTGCAGGTATGAGTATATGATGACTCATCTAATCATTGTGTTTAAAGGATTTTCCTTTTTGGTATCAGTCTAATCCTAGAAAACGTACAGATGTCTCAGCTCTCTTAAACTTCTTCAGGGAGAATCAAAGCCAGACTCATGGCTCAAAGACTCCATCCCAAGGAAATTCCAGAATTTTGACCTCTCAGGGGAAGGAAGATAACATTATTTTGAGAGTCTGATGAAAAGTTTGACATTGAATTAAACATTATCCTAAGAAAATCTCACATATTTATATATCACAACAAGCTTTCTGCTCCTATAAAGATTCACAACCTTTAAAACCCTGTACGGGGTCATCATGAGTCAGAACCAACTCCACGACATACCACCACCACCATAATGTACGAGGGGGATTTAAAAAGTTGATAGAAAAATTCTATTATCTTTTCATTCCATTTTCCATGAACTTTTGAAGACTTCATGTATTTATATATCACAACAATGTATATAATGTACCCATTTTTAGGGGTCCAAGGACCCCAGAAAATTACTATTAGACTGTCCTGACCATAGGGGATCCTGGTAGCACAGGGGTTAAACGCTTGACTGCCAACCTGAAAGGCTGAAGGTTCAAACCCACCACCTGCTCTTCAGAAGAAAGAAGTGACAGGCTACTTCTAAAAAGATTACAGCCTTGAAAACCCTCAAGGGCATTCTCTTCTGTCCTGCAGGGTCACAATGAGTTGGAATTAACACAACGACAACCAGTTTTATTGCTGTGATCAGTCCAGGTTCATGGAGTCCAGAGGACTACCTCTCATAAATTTCCTTATAAAACAGGAGAGGAGCAGAAGAGATAAAGAAAGCAACGGAGAGGGAAGTGACAAGAGGAGAAAAATAACATAGGGAGAAGACAGAGGAAGTCAAAACAGAAAGGAAGTCTGATTTTATTCATTATTTTTGAAATGTCTAGAGTAAGTCCTGTTTTTGTTGTTGTGAAGTGCTGTTGAGTCAGTTCCAACTCATAGTGACCCTGTGGGAGCAGAAAGCCTCACCTTTCTTCCTCAAGAGTGGCTGCTGGGCTTAACTGCCAACTTCCTAGTCCAGCGCTTATCCTATGGAGCCATCATGCTCCCAGAAAAAGCCTCAGGGTTCTTATAATGGGAAACAGAGTTCTGGCAATACTTTGAATGCATGAGAAAGTGTCTAGACCAGCTCCCCAACATAACATAAAGTTCCTTGGATCTGACATGTTTTTGGAATAATTTTTTTTTTTTTAAAGAACAAATCAATCAATAACTATCAACTGATAATTGAGGATTTTTCAAAAGGATACATAATTAGATTTAAGGCTGGTGAAGAAGCATTTGTTTATGTTGCTTCCACTTTCAGTAGCTGGGAAATATTTAATCAGTCTTAGGTGGAAGCAAGTGATCATGGCATCACCACTGAGAAGCTTGTCCTTTCACAGGGGATGAAATCACTTTATTGAGATGATTTCCTGCTTGATATAATAGAGTACAGACACCAGGAAGACTTCATCTGGGCATCATCCAGGACAAGTTTGGCAGGAAAGGGATTATCTCAACATGTTGCCCTCTTTGGAAACTGCATTCCTAGCAGCCAGGAGAACATCTCCCCAAATGTTTATCTGAGATCAAATTCATCAGTCCCCCTTGTGCATCCTAACAAAAAAATCAACTTTTTTTGCTTCCTATGTCTGTTTGGAACCCATCAACCACCAGTCCGCAAGGTGAACTATCCTAGAGTGAAGTTTCACGACTGCAACTCATTCCAGTAATTGGTTAACAAGTGGTAAACTGTGTGTCTACACCAGCAATGTCCCTAATCTGTCTCTGCTATCTCAGTACCATTATTTACCTCCATGCTTAAAAGCACAACTGTTGGAAATAACCAGATTCCAGTTTGCATCTTTGTACATCCTGTGGGATCTGGAGCACGTTACTTAAAACTCTTTAAGACATTTCCTCTTCTTTGGAGTGCGAGTGAGTCTCATCTGTGTCCCTGCATAATGAAAACTGACTGAAATCATGTAGAAGTACCCAGCGAGTACAGGGTCTGGCACTCAGGAAGTTTTAATGGATGGCAGCAGTTTATATCTTTGATCAAGCCCTTATTACATCCTGCTCAGATTATTTCAGTGGTATTTTATCTTTACTTCTGTTCCCTAGATCATTCAATGTTGTTGTTAAGTGCCATCAAGTTGCTTCAGACTCATAGTGACCCTACATGGGGTTTCTGAGGAGCAACTGGTGAGCTTGAACCGCCGACCTTGTGGTTCAAACTGACCTTGCAGTTCAGTGCATTAACCCACAGAACCATGGCTGTGCAATTTAACACAGATGCATGGAAAAAGGACCCCAGGTGGTACAGTTAGATTAAGTGTGGGGTTGCTAACCACAAAGTTGGCAGTTCAAACCTCCCAGCCACTCCAAGGGAGACAGTTGAGGCTGTCTGCTCCAGTAAAGCTCTTCAGTCTCGGTAAAGCTGAAGGAGCAGTTGTGCTCTGTCTTAACAGGGTCACAACAAGTTGGCTTTGACTCAATGATAGTGGACTTGGCAATAGAAATGCCCTTACAAAGGCTTCAGTGACCCAAAGTTGTCATTGTTATTGTTAAGAGCTATCGATTCAATTCCGACCCACAGCGACCCTTTATAGGGGTTCCGAGGAGCAGCTGGTGAGCTTGAACCACCAACTTTGCAATTCAAATGGCTTTGCAGTCTTGCGCATTAACCCACAGAGCCACAGCAGGATTCCAGAGTACCCTTATTCCTCACCATGACATTAAAGTCTTCCTTCATGAACCCCCAGCTAAAACTTCCAACGCCTTCCCTCACCTTCTATTAGTATACCTTTGTTCCTCTGGCCTTTACCTAGGAATCACCTTCCTCCCATGACACTCCTACCAAGAAACATTAAATATCACTCCTTCCAAGTAGTGTTCCTCAATCCCCATTGGGAATCACCTTTCCTGTCATCAAATTCTGAATGATGACCTTGGGGCAAGTGACTTAGCCTAAGACTCCAGGGATAGTGAGAAGACAATGAGATCATGAATGTTCACTGGTCCCACAGAGTTAGTACTCAACAAATGCAACCTGGTAGGGGTAATAGTAGTAGTGGGGGTAGCAGTTCACTTCATGGAGCACAAAGTATCATCTGTTCAGCTTAAGAGAAATGTATTAGGGCTAAACCAGAGAAGAACTAACTAAACACGCAATGGTTTGCATTCAACTGCTGTTCAAACCCACCAGTGCTACCACTGGTTGACTTAGTCATCTGTTTCCCTTAAGATTATAGTGAATGGTTTACAAGCTTTCATGGGTGTGCTTAGTTTCAGAATGAGGGAGGTAAGGTAGAATCCCCAATGAACAGTATATTCCTCTATTCCAGATGGGTCTGTTAACAAGGGGTGGGGGATGATGCTAATAGGATTTTTATGATTCCACTGTGAGTAACTGTTAGCAGGAGTCATTGCAATGGTCAAAACTAAAATTGTAGCAGATGTGTAACTAAAAGGAAGAAGTAGGTAATATTTAATTTCAGGAACAGACCATTCTAGCACCATCAAGAAAGAACATGAGTGGAACGTGAGATCTCTACCTAGAAAAGTAGCAACAACAGAGACAGTGGCAAAGAGAGAGAGAGAGTAGCTCTAGGCCCATGGGCTGAGTAAGGTGGTGTGCCTGCAGACAGGAGGCTGGCTGTGCCCTTTGGACATTGAAATTAACATATATTATTTGTTTTGTTTTGTATGTGTGCATCAGATATTTTTGTTCATTTGTGAAATGTAAGATGTAAATGGGGAACCACAATGAGGAAGCAGGATAACTGCTGTTGCAGGGAGGAGATTGTAATCATTGAGATGAAACAAAGTATATGATTTGTTGAATGTAAAACTGACGATCTTGTCTATAAACCTTCACTCAAATTCACAATATATTTTTTTTTTAAGTGAAGAAGTCTTGAAGAATTTACTGATAAATAACAAAGACTACAACCTTCAGAATGTGCCCTTTGGTTGTTTAAATGACTATATATTTTTGAGTGTTTTTGTGTACATGCAAAACAAAACAACAACAACAAAAAAACTCAGAAGTAGTAGAAGCAAATACTCTCAAATGATGATGCACGAAGGGAATTGTAATCATTGCAATGAAACAAAATACAACAGGATTAATGCAAAATCGATATTTTCCCATGTAAATTATCACTAAATTCACAACAAAAGCTTTTTTTAAAAGCTAGACAATGAATAAGGAATATTGAAGAAAAATTGACACATATGAATTATGGTGTTTGTGATTTAGAGAATTATTTAATATTTTTCTTCTGGCTGTAGTCCTTGTAACTCCCAACCAAATGACTCTTTTTCTGCTGGTCTGGGTAAGAAAAGGTGAGAGAAAATACTGACAGGATGATATGATTCATTTGTGGATTTTAACAGAGTTAGCTTAATTGTAAAAACTTGAAATTGTACTTTTCCAAATATGATGTTCTTCTCTAGGGACTGATCCTTTCTGAAAATGTGTCCCAAGTGGGCATTACTGAGGAGAATCTCTTCTGACACTGAATTGTAATCTATTCTGGTAGCATAGTGGTTATGAGTTGAACTGCTAACCTCAAGGTCAGCTGTTAAAAACTACCAGCCGTTCTGCGGGAGAACGATGAGGTTCTCCTCTCTGCTCCCATAAAGATGTACAGCCTCAGAAACCCTATACAAGGTCGCTAGAAGTTGGAGATAACTCGAAGGCACCTAACAACAACAAAACAATTTCATGTGCCTCCATCTCCAACAACAAAAGAGTACTTGCCAAATACTGTGTGCTCAGACATAGTAAATGAGAAAGAATGATACTAACTTATTTCTATCATCTTCAGAGTAAAAAT